GAGAGAGAGAGAGAGAGAGAGAGAGAGCATGAGTGGGGGAGGGGCAGAGAGGGAGACATAGAATCCAAAGCAGGCTCCAGGCCCTGAGGTTGTCAGCACAAAGCCCAACATGGGGCTCGAACCCATGAACCGTGAAATCATGACCTGAGCTGAAGTCGGCGCTTAACTGACTAAGCCACCCAGGCTCTGGCGGTGTGAAGCATGAGTGTTTACAGAATCTCTACAGCTGCATGTGAATTGGCAATTACCTCAAAAAAAAAAATTAAAAAATAACTAAAAAAAGAAAAAACCTCCCAGATTAATACAAGAAGTAATTTTCCTGGTTTCACACAGCCAGAAAAAAAAAAAAAGGGTAGAACGCAGATTTGAAACCGGGTCTGACTGGTCCTCTGTCATGTGCTCCCTCCTTCCTTGGAAACCCCCTGTCCAGGGCAGCACCGTGTGGTGGAGACGGGGCTGTTCTGGAGGGAGGGAGCATGAGTGTTGCGTAGGCCTCTGAGTGACTAAAAGGACAGTCTTCCTTGATGGGTGGGCTTTGAGCAAATCAGTAAATTGACATATGTTCTCAGTGAGGTATGGTATATGTTTTAAGATTTACTCTTTTTTTTTTTAATGTTTATTTCTGAGAGAGAGAGAGAGAGAGAGAGTACAAGTGGGGTAGGGTCAGAGAGAGGAACGGACAGAGGAGCCCAAGCAGGCTCTGGGCTGACAGTAGCGCCTGATACGGGGCTCGAATTCATGAACTGTGAGATCACGACCTGAGTGGAAGTTGGGCGCTTAACCGCCTGAGCACTCAGGTGCCCCTAGAATACATTTTAGTAGTAAATGAAATTCCCACCTGAACAAAAAATAGTGTGTAGATTATTATTAGCATGGCGATAATAACAGTAAAGGCTAACAGGGATATAGCACTCCTATAATCCTCGTAACAACTTGGAAGGTAGCTAATTCCTATGTTGCAGATGATCCGTATGAAGCATAAGGAGGTCGAGGAACTTGTCTGACTCCTGATGGCTCATAGCAGAGCTTGAGTGGATCCCAGACGGTCTGGCTCGAGTTCATGCTCTTACTAGGAAAACAGGTCAGATGATACTGTAGAAAAGTAAAGATGTTGCTGTGTGAGATGAGGATTTCTATTCTGCAGGGGGAAATATTTAAATGTGTATTTTTTATGAGGACCTGCATGTGGACTTATTTTTTCTTTCTTTTTTTTTTAAAAAATGTTTTATTTATTTCTAGGAGAGAGAGAGAGAGAGAAAGAGACAGCGTGAGCAGGGGAGGGTCAGAGAGAGAGGGAGTCACAGACTGAAACAGGCTCCAGGCTCTGAGCTGGCAGTCAGCACAGGGCCCGACGCGGCGCTCGAACCCACGAATCGCGAGATCATGACCTAAGTGAAAGTCGGACGCTCAACCGACTAAGCCACCCAGGCGCCCAGTGGATTATTTTCGATGCCTCCAGTACCTCACTGCTAATACTTGATGAGCCCTTCCTGTGAAAGCTGCTTACAATGCTTTCTTCCTGTGGTTGTAACTCTGCTCTTCTCAATACTAGGCATGTATGCAGCTTCAAGAGGATCTTATAAAACTGTTTAGATCTTTTGGATCAACAGACGCCTGAAAATTCAATGGCTGACATGGGAAATGTATCTAGGGCACTAGTGGTTTCTGTTTGTATAAAGAGTTATTTAGAAACCAGTGAATAAGCATCACAGAGTCTCTGCAAGGGAGAGAAAGTTGAGAGAACTTAAGCTATTAACTCTATTCAAGAAATGGGTGCATTTGGGGGCACCTGGGTGGCTCAGTCAGTTAAGCGTCCAACTTCTGCTCAGGTCATGATCTCACAGTTTGTGACTTTGAGCCCTGCATCAGGCTCTGGGCTGATGGCTCGGAGCCTGGATCTGGTTTGGATTCTGTGTCTCCCTCTCTCTCTGCCCCTCCCCCGCTCATGCTCTGTCTCTCTCTCCTTCAAAAATAAACATTAAAAATTTTTTTTAAAAAACTCATGAGCCAATAAAGAAATGCAAATAAAAACATAGATTAGAAAAACATGTGCATTCAGGGGCGCCTGGGTGGCTTAGTCGGTTAAGCGTCCGACTTTCGCTTGGGTCATGATCTCGCGGTTCGTGGGTTCGAGCCCCGCGTCGGGCTCTGTGCTGACTGCCAGCTCAGAGCCTGGAGCCTCTTTCAGAGTCTGTGACTCCCTCTCTCTCTGACCCTCCCCCTGCTCATGCTGTCTCTCTCTCTCTCCTAGAAATAAATAAAAAAAAATTATAAAAAAAAAGAAAAACGTGCATTTTTATAACAATCTTTTCTATATGAAAAGAAATCTCATGATAAGGAAAGAGTATTTTTTAAATGTAAATAATTCACACTCCTGTCCTCTCTTCCCTCCTCCCCTACCTTATAACACACATGAATATTTCTATTTAGATACTGGGTTTTCTTAAAGCAGATTTCTATTTCTTTAGCCACATAATTAGAGTTAACTAGGGGTTCCTGGGTGGCTCAGGGGGTTAAGCGTCTGACTTCGGCAGAAGCCATGATCTCGTGGTTTGTGAGTCTGAGCCCTGCATTGGGTTCTGTGTGGAGTCTGCTTCGGATTCTGTGTCTCCTTACTTTCTGCCCCTCCCCATTCTCGTTCTGTCTCTTTCTCAAAAATAAACATTTAAAAATATTTTTTAAATAATAGAGTTACCTAATTTGAAGCCACGTTGTGGCATGGCAGGTGGAAAGAATACAAATCAGAATTGAGACCCAGGTTTTTGGCCTGTTTGCTGCCTAAAACAAATTTGTTTTTTTGACTCTTGTTTTTTGAGTCCTTTACATTTTCTGTATCTGTTTCTTCCAACGCCAGTTTTTTCTCCCTTCCTCACAGACCCTTGGAGAGTAGTAAGACCTTGGATTGTGAGTAACTTGTTCTGTGAGTGTTTCGTAAGATGAGCCAACAGTTCTAATAAATTTTAACTTGATGATGAGTGATGTCTTGCAATACGAGTAGTACGTGATGCCGAATGTCACATGATCACAACTGAGCCAATGGTTTTTGAAATTCGCTTTGACATACAAGTGCTTTGGATTACAAACATGTTTCTGGAGTGAATTACGCTCTCAAACCAAGGTTTTACTGAAAAGCCCTCCATGGTCTCCTCTCTAGTTTCCTCTTACTTTTGGAAAGGAAATCATTTCATGGGCACATACAGAAAATAGTTCATAACTACTATTTACGGCCACTTATGTTTCAAGCTCTGTAACCACATGAGCTCTAATCTTTATAATAATCCTACATGGTTGGATATATTAACTGGTTGTAATTAATTGCCCCATTTTATAAAAGAAGGAGCTGAGGGTGGAGAGGCAGAAGCATTGGCTACACATGATGACACAGTGTCTAAGCTTGGGAAGGTCACTTAGTCTCTGGTGCCCAGCGTGGTGGCCAACACGTGCCAGCACTAAGGAAAAGCCTGCTTTCCAAACAGCTGTTTCTGTGTAATGGCTTTAAGCTGAAGTTCAGAAAGTCATCATGTTCTCTCCTATTTCTTCAGTCTCATAAGTTTACCTTTGGGAATGTACCTTTTTTTCCCCTAGAATATAAGATTCAAAATCATAAAAACAGAAATGTACATAGATTGCCTTATTTAAAATAAGTATGGTTAGCAATCCATAGTCCAAAGTGGCAAAGAGATGTACAGCGACTCTCACTGGTAGCCCGGTGCCAGCCACATTAACCTCCCAAGATTTTAGGGTTAATATTGCTGAGCTCTTGTGGCATGTAGGTTCAAGGGCGAAGATACTGAATGGTTGTTTTAAAATCTGGAAATGCAAACAGGTGTTAAGGTTGTTAAAGGGAGATTCAGCAACAAAGAAAGCTTTTAGAAGAAGAGGTGCTTTAAAAGGATGGTTTGCTGGGGCGCCTGGGTGGCTCAGTCAGTTGAGTGTCTGACTTCAGCTCAGGTCATGATCTCACGGTTTGTGGGTTCGAGCCCCACATCAGGCTCTGTGCTGGCAGCTCAGAGCATGCTTTGGATTCTGTGTCTCCTTCTCTCTGTCCCTCCCCCACTCACTCTCTGTCTCTCTCTCACAGAATAAGATAAAGACATTAAAAAAAATTAAAAAAAAAAAAAAAGGATGGCTTGCCATGTGGAAAATGCAAGAAGTATTTAAAGGGGAAACAGACACACAAATAGCTAAGGTGATATTCATCAGGGATGAAAATACTTAATTTTACTGTTGGCTGGGCCCACATATAAAGTCAAGGATGATAGGCCCTTATTTTATTTACTTTTATTTTCCAATAGTTTGGAATGGATTCCCCAGTCTCCAGATAAGGGGGAGAGTTACTTACATGCCTGGGTTTGTAACACTTAGCAGTGATTTGTCAGGATGAACTTGGGTGACACCTGGCTTCTCTTCAGGTTGTTCCCAGGGTGTTCTCAGTTGCCACAGTTCCGCATTGCACCTCCAGGGAATGGGCTTTGGAAACAGGTGGGCTGGGTTTGAAACCTGCCTTTAGCCCTAAATACTTGGATGGCCTTGTCTACTTTGACCAAGCTCCAAGAGCCACAGCTTCTTCTTTTATAAAATGGGGCAGTTAATAATTCCAACCAGCTAAAAAATGCAACCATGCAGGAATGTTATAAAGATTAGAGATCATGTGGTTACTGAACCTGAAACATAAGTGGCCCTAAAAGGTAGTTATTAACTATTTTCTGTATGTGCCCACAAAATGATTTCCTTTCCAAATCCACCTCAAGCAGGGAAAGCAAATTCAAGTATTTCTTCCCGCAGCTGTATTGTGTCATTGTAAAATCACTGTGACTCAACTCCTTTTTCCTTAAGGAAACATACTTGGAAAACAAACAGAGAGACTTCCAGCATCACCCTGTGTTCAGCACTCAGATGAGGTGTCAGTATTTTGCCCCGACCTCGGGAAGGTTAGTTCTCTAAAGTGTCAGAGCCATACACAGATGAAGTTGCTGGGCTACTGTGAGAAGGAAGCGTAATGACAAGACTCATCTCCCAGGCAGCTCAAAAATAAGGAAGGCACTATACTATGCGTGGTAAGTACAGTGAATCAACTCCTAGGATCCTGTACCCTCATTCCAAAATCCCAACAGCCACCCCTAAACATTAGGTGATATTAACAAAAACAGTTAGGAGTAAGGGTGCTGGACTCATTGCCTACAATCCCATGCTTGCTTCACAGCACACTAGCTTTGTGCCCCCAGACCAATCACTTACCCATTCTAAAGCTCACCTTCCTCATCTGAAACCTTGTGATAATGTGGATGCCTGCCCCCCAGGGTTGTTGTGTTCTATTTTCACATAGAAAATACTCTGAGTACAATGCCTGTCACGAGGTTCACACTAGTTAACCAGCTGTTGTTATTATTTTGGCAACGGTAATTGTCTTGCACAAGATCAAACAGTAGTGAGAAGGTAGAAATCCTAGTCTTCTGACTCCAAATCCCAGGCTCTTTGTCTTACCGTGTGCTACCCTACTGAATGCTTATTGCTTAAGTGATTAAAATACCACAACACTGTTTATGTAGTCCAGGGACATTGAAGTATTCTAATTATGCAGAGCTACAAATAAAAGATCACTGTAAGTGGAAACTGATAATGTTCGTTCACTATTCTTTGCTCTCGCTTGAGAAAAAAAGCCCACATGTCAGACCATTTCTCAGCTTCCCAAGAACTATACTTCCCAGGAGTTAGAATTCTTTTATATCAAAACCAGTGCAGTCCTGCCAACTGAAGCCCTCCTGTAATTTGACAGTAGAGAGGCCACAGTATGCTCTCTGTTTGGTGCTAAATGGTGACATCAACTGTCTGTCTCCCTTTCAAAGCTGTCCTCTACTATTTTGCTCCACCATCCTCCAAACAAAACAACTGGCCCAGCTGCCAGTCACGCTGGCTTTCTGGTCCACTGCCTACTTAGGCGTAAATAAATCGTGCACTTGCTCCCTCCTTTAACTACCACTGGGCTTGGCTCACTTCCAGGCTCCTTGGGTACTGAACCTTGTGAAGTCCATAAAGTTAATTTTCCAGACTAACTGTAGCCTGGTATGAACTTCAGACAAGGCAGCTCTGAAGAAACCCACACTGATTTCTCATATCACTTAAAAATATATTTTTTTAACTGTCAAAAAGAAACATTCACTAACACAGACCATATGCTGGGCCATAAAACAAATCTTAACACATTTCAGAAAATTTAGATCATACAAAGAGAGTTCTCTGAAAACAATGGAATTAAGCTAGAAAACAGTAATAAAAAGATATCTAGAAAGTCCCCAAGTAGTTTGAAATTAAACAACACACCTCAAAAGAATCCATGGGTCAGATAGAAAGTCCACCAAAAAAACTGGAAAATACTTTGAGTTGAATGAAAATGAAAACACAACATATAAATATTTCTGGGATGTATTTAAAGTAGTGCTTTGAGGAAAACGTATGGCATCAAAGGCTTATATTATAAATAAGAAATATCTAGGGGTACCTGGGTGGCTCAGTCGGTTAAGCATCTGACTCTTGATTTCAACGTAGGTCATGATTTCATGGTTTGTGGGATAGAACCCCGTGCTGGGCTCTGTGATGAGGGTGGAGACTTGTTGGGATTTTCTCTCTCTGCCCCTCCCCTTCTAGTGCATGCTCTCTCTGTTTCTCTCTTTCTATCTCAAAATAAATAAATAAAGATAAAAATAAATAAAATTAATTGTCTAGGCATCCATCTTAAAAAATGAGAAAAAGCAGCTAAAAGCAAAGCAAGCAGAAAGAAAAAAAGATGAAATCATTGAAATGAAAAAGAGAATAAACACAGAGAAAGTCAATTAAATCAAAAGCTGTTTCTTTCGAATAGATGAATAAAATCAACAAGAATTAGTCAAATTGATCAAGAAAAAGGAGAAAAAAAATTACTAATATCAAGAATGACATAGGGAACACCACTATGTGTCCTCTAAGATATTAAAAGGGTAATAATGTAATAGTATTATGTATGAATAACATTAGAAAGATAATAGTATAATTAATATTAGTATATATGAACAGTCTTATGCCCATAATTTCAAATATCTGGACAAAATAGACAAATTCCTCACTCAAGAAGAAACAGATCTCCTGAATAGCCCTATATTTTATTAAGGAAATAGAATTTATGATTTAAAACATTTCAACAAGGAAAACTCCATACTCAGGTGGCTTTACTGAAAAATAATAACCAACATTTAAGGAATAAATAATACAAGTTAATGTAAGCTTCTCCAGAAAACAGAAGAGAAGGAAACACTTCCCCACTCGGTTTATGAGATCAATATTACCCTGACGCCAAAACTAGACAAAGACATTATAGGAAAACTATAGATCAATATCTCTCAGATATATTAATGCAAAAATCCTCAGTAAAGTATGACTAATTGATTCCAGCATGTATCAAAATGATAGATCATAACCAAGTTGGGTTTATCCCAGGAATGCAAGGTTGGTTTAATATTTTAAAATCTATGAATGTAATTCACTATATCAACAAACTAAAAAAGAAAAATCATGTGCTCATTTCAATAGATGTAGAAAAATATCTGGCAAATTCAACATCTATTCAATAATTTGTAAAAAATTCTTAGTAAAATGGGATCACAGAAAACTTTCTCAATTGAATAAAGGGCTTCTGTGTTAAATTTATATTGCAGCATAACAAATAACCCCAAAACATAAATATTAAACCTTTATTATCTCATAGTTCCCTGGAGATTAGGAATCCATATGACTAGCTAAATGCCTCTGACTCAAGGTCTCTCTTAAGATTGAACTTTCGTTGTCTATTGGGGCTGCAGCCTCATATGAAGGCTCCCTGGAGCAGGAGTGAAGAGCCACCTCTGAGCTCACTCACATGGTTGTTGGCAAGATTCATGCCTTACAGAATATGAAACTGAGTGTCTAATTTCTTGGCTCGTAGCCTCCTTAGACCTTTGCTATAGGGCAGCTCACGACATGCCATCTTGATTCCATCAGAGAAAGTGAGCAAGAGTACCCAAGACGGAAATCGGTCTCTTTGTAAACTAATCTTGGAAGCGATATTCCATTACTTATGCCACATTTTCTTCCTTAGAAGCAAGTTACTAGGTCAAGCCTACACTGAAGGGAAGGGGAACACACAGAGGCATGAATATCAGGAGGCAGAGCTCATTAAGGGCCATCTTGGAGGCCGCCAGCCACAGCGTCTACAAAGTGATCTAACTAACATCCTACCTAATGGTACAAGACTGAACGCTTTCTTCCTAAGATCAGTAATAAAGAGGTCTGCTGTCATTGTTCCTGTTTGGTATCTCGAGGACTTGAAGGACCTATCAAGTGCAAGAAGGCAAGAAAAAGAAATAAAACATATACCAGTTAGGAACAACTAAACCGGTCCCTGTTTGCAGATGATAGGACTGTCTACATAGAAAACCCCAAGGAATTTACAAAAAACTAGAACTTATAAGAAAACATCCAGAAAATGAAAAGTACATGAAAAACTGTTCAACATTAGTCATTAGGGAAATGCAAATTAAAACCACAAAAGACGATTACCTACTTATTAGAATGGATAAAAATCAAAAGAACTGAATACCAAGTGCTGGCAAAGATGCAGAGTAATTGGAACATTGCTGGCAGGAGTATAAAATGGAATGGTCACTTTGGAAAACATTTTGGCAATTACTTACAATAACATATACTTATCCTATGACATAGCAGTGGTCCTCTCATTATTTTTCCAAGAGAAATAAAAACATATGTTTACACAAAAGACCATGCATGAATGTTTATAGTGGCCTAAAACTAGAAACAACTCAAGTGTTCTTCAACTGGGATAAATTATGTTTTATCCATACAATGGAATGCTACTTAGTAATGAAAAAGAATGAACTAGTGATAAATGCAACAACATGGATCAATCTCAAATGCATTATGTTAAATAAAGGAAGCCTAGTTAGCCTCAAAAGATTACATAATGTAAAAATTCATTTACAGGACAATCTGGAAAAGACAAAACTATAGAGACAGGAAATACATCTGCAAACAATTTCTAGGAGGTTCACAGACCACCTGTAGCTCATCCAGGACCCCATCTATATGTGACTTCGTTGTCAAGGCAACCACCAATTCCTGTCCACCCAGCTTCAGCTCCTTCCTGAACCCTATCCAGACTTATATTTGGTGGCATGCTGCTTGGCGTGGGATTGTTCCCTGTTTCATAGATAGTATGACACTTTTCTCTCCTCAGATATCACTTCCCCAGCAAACAGCCATCTCATGCATATGGCTGGGGCATATGGAATGGGATAGATGATAAAGTGTTGGGGCAGTCTTCCCAGTAGCAAATTATTTCATGACTTCTGCAGGTCCATTGCCACTAGTATGCTTAGGCCTGAGTGAGTAGGACCCAGTTGGGACAAAGATGGGAATAAGTAACCTAAGGCAGTTCCTTCTGGCTGGCTCAGCCGGTACAGCAGAGGAGTCTTCATCTCAGGGTCCTGAGTTTGAGCCCCATATTGAGTGTAGAGATCACTTAAGAAAAGGTAGGAAGGAAGGAAGGAAGGAAGGAAGGAAGGAAGGAAGGAAGGAAGGGAGGGAGGGAGGGAGGGAGGGAGGGAGGGAGGAAAGGAAGGAAGGGAGGAAGGAAGGAAAGGAGGGAGGGAAGGAGGAAGGAAGGAAAACCTTAAACCAAGGCGGGCTCTGTTAAATCTCCATCTCCCACATCAGAAAGCCCAGCTATAGCGGAAGTTCATGGTGATGGATCCTAAGCTAGTGGAGGCAAGTGCTGACTTTAACCAGTTTCAGTCATCATACCTTCCTCTCCCTCTTTTCCTGTCTCTGCCTTTCATTCATTCATCATTCACCGAACTGGATGCTACTGGACTAATCAGCACAGACACAGAAGCTGCCCTCAAGCCGTGCACGGCCTAGCGGAGGACACGGGAGAGTAATGCCGTATTTTACAGGTAGGATCCGCCCTGCAGGTGAAGTACAGATTGCACGGGGCTTGGGGAGGGGTGCCCCTGGCGCACGCGTCTTCCCAGCCGACTCTGCTACAGCTGCGTTCTTCATGACCTGCTACAGTCCGCAGCCTTCCTCTCCCGGCAAAGGGACGCGCAGGCACCCGGGCGCTAGGGCCGCCCCCCAGGGCCCTGCCCCGCAGCCGGGCTGGCGGCCCGCTCCGGGAGGGCAGCCGGGGCGCGGCGGCCCCGCCCAGGCCAGTCCGGGGCGGGGGCCGGTTCCCATAGGGATTGCGGCCGGGGCGGCGGCGAGCGGAGCCGGGAGAGAGGCGGCGAGGCGGGAGCAGGGCCAGGCCGGGCCGCCGCGGCGCCGTGAGTCCCGGGCGGGGAAGGCGCGCGGGTCCGGACGGCGGGCCGGGCCGCCACGTGGCGCCGCTCGAGGCTGCGCTGCGCGGACCGGGCGCGGGTGGGCTGCCGGGCGGCGCTGGCGGCCGGGCCCCGCGGGGGCGGCGGGACGGCGCGGCCCCGCTCCCCGCCGAGGCCCGCCGGCGCCTGGAGGCGCTGGGCTCCCCCTTCCGGCGCCCGCCTCTCCCCTCCCCTCGCCCCCGCGGGGACCTGGCTGGTGTCTCCTTGCCCAAAGGAAATGAGACCCGAAATTAGAACCGGGGAAGCCCTGAGTCGTCTTCTCCGTCCTCCAGCAGGCTCATGTGTCTTAGATCGGATGAACTATAACATTAAACAAGTAGATTATCTTACAACTCCGTTCGATTTAGGATGACGGGTTGCATTTTAACTTGCAGGGTGTATACCGGACGGTTAGAATTGGGTTACCAAAGGCATCGAGCTCTGGGCTGTCATCCCGGATCTCAGATCTCGTTGCCGTTGCTGAGGGGCGAGGCTTTAAGGACATGGGTAGATTCCTAATTCTTTAACAAGTGCCCTTCTGTTCTAGGTGCTTGACAAAGACCCATCGTTGAGTGGGACTCTAGTACAGTCTGTTCTTGCCAATATTTCATAAGCGACATTTCCAGACTATGTGAACATCCATTTTAAGATTTATTCCTCTATGATGGAGAAGTATGAAAAAATTGGGAAAATTGGCGAAGGATCCTACGGAGTTGTTTTCAAATGCAGAAACAGGGACACAGGTCAGATTGTAGCCATCAAGAGATTTCTGGAATCAGAAGATGACCCTGTCATAAAGAAAATCGCCCTTCGAGAAATCCGCATGCTCAAGGTAATGGATTACTTAAAGGGAATTATCAGGGACTAAAAAACTTAAGTGAGTCGTGTTATGCTTAGTAAATGTGTTAAGATGTACAAGTCACCAAATGCATAATGAACCAGGAAGCAAAGACACCAGTGCAGAGAAGGATGCTACTCACTTTCAGAGGTGCTGGGGGGCATTTTATTTTATTCTTCCCCATGGCTTCTTGCCCATGTCAGCTCTGGATCTGATTCTTCAAGAGCCCTCAACTTTACTAGTACAGGAACTTACCACAACTCCAGTTTGCTAGCATTTATGAGTTTTAAACTTTCGGGCCATCTTCTGTTGATATTCTCAGTACATTAAGATAATTAATCATTCACCTGTTTTCAAATTGCTAGGAAGCCGACCGGTTTTCTTTACACCTCACATTTTGTCTGCTGCTGAACTAATCATAATGCCCTTTTTCTAGAAAAAGGATTCTTCTTAAAGAAGTGAAATGATCACTTTTAAAATGTTTATTAGCTGACCACGGAGAGAAGATCACGAAATCAGAGTGGTGGAAAAAGCTGTTACAAGCCGAAAGGTGTTTTTTTTTTTCTGTAATACTAAGAGACTACTTTTTGGAATTTCTGTGAGGATGAAACCCCAAATCCCAACATAGAACGTGCCATGTAATGAACACAGTGAGGTTAACTTGGTTTCAAGCAGTTGGAGCCTCTGTGTTGGGGCATGTATAACTGAATAAATGATCAGGAAAGAGCACCTAGTGCGAGATGAGTAGGACATTCAGGGCATTTTCTCTTATCGCTGCCTCTCTGTTTTCCAGGCCTCTCTAAAAGTCTTCTCTTACCCATGGCTTGCGTGTATGGGGTTATCTAAATGTGAAGTAGCAGGCTTCTTAAATGGGTGGATAATAAGAAAACTCTCCCTTTAGGTTTAGGATGGTCTTTATCAGCAGGATGCTACCTATTGTGAGAGGACACTTCCCAGGGTTTCCCCACCCCCACCCTGTGAGGCCCTCCTCTAGGAAGGCCTCCCCATCTCAGGGCCTGGACTACTCTGCCCTTCCCCACTGTCTACACACAGGGACAGGGTCTCACCCTTTCTTTAGGGCTGATGGGCGTTTTTCACTTTCTCGGGCTTCCCCTAGAACAGAAGGCCATCATTGTGTTCAGAGGATTCATTTACTCCAAAGAAAAGACAGTCTGGTTCTAGTGGAGAGATACTCTTTTTCTGATGCTGAAGGTCACCTGTGAATGCCTCTGAACCCTCTCCGCACCCTTTAGCAATACTGGGTTTGCAAGTGTAGCTCCCGGAGTTAATTGAGTTCCCCCAGGATGGGAACCTCTGTTTCTCTGTGTGGACTACTAAGCAAGCATTTAGTGGGCTGCACTGCCAATAAATAAATGTTACCGTTGGATTGAAAAAATAATGTTAACAAAATAAGCCCTTAGGTAGGGTGGTTGTTCCCAATATATTAGGAAGTCAGAAAGTGTTCTCCGAATATGGATGCGCCTTTAGGGAAAGAGTTGTGTGCACAGGAGCCTGATTTCAAAGCACAGAGCACCCCATTCTTCAAAATCAGTGCACAGATGTAGGCTCCCCTAATCTATATGGGATTAGACTAGATTATTGACAGAGTCTGTTCTTTAAAGCCCTAACTTTTTAGCTTTCTGTGATATTCCTAACACATTCTAGGTCCTTAAATATTTGCCGACAAAGTGAATTGAGAGTTTGTTAAATGAAGTCACATTTTCTCCATATATTTATTCAGTAAATATGTATAGAGCCTCATTGTGCCTAAAACAATGTTTAAAAGAAGCTGTGCACCCTGTGTTTCAGATGCATCATTCATGGAAGGGAAGGAAGATAAATTCCCCCTTGGCTCTCACTCCTGATAAACTGGGTTCCTAGTGGGGCAGGGTCTGTGTCATTTACCTTGTGTCCCATGCCTGCCTGGCAAGCTCTCTCTAAATAAAGTATTTAGAGGCATGTTTAAGCTACCTTTTGAAGTATTTAAGGAGGCATGGAATGAGAAATAAGGCATTCAGGGCAGACAGTCTGTCTCAGGAAAGGGTGTATGTGTGGAAAGCAGTATATTGAGGGAACACAGGTTATAACCCGAAAGTCTTAGCCAGGATTGCCTGCTGGGTAACAACAGGCCAGGAGAGCAAGGGAAGCCACAGTTCAGTAGAAGAGGGTGTGAGGAATTTCCTGGAAGATAGGTGTGGCCTGGGTTAAGTGATGCTTAGCACAAAGCCACATCGTTGTCCCAGGTGGCCTTTGGGGTTTGGAGTCTGACTCCAGGGGACATGCTGTAGTCCTGGAAAACAGGAAACTGGTGACATGGCAAATGGTTCTGAGCTGAAATTCAAGGGAGAGCTCCAGTGGCCCGTGGGAAGAAGAATACTAAACTGTGAGCAAAGCACAGCTCTTTGGGCCCAGAAGAAAGTTGCAGCCCAGTGAGTTTGAGTTCCTGGTGTTTTCCTCGCAGACCTGGGACTTTTCATGACCGCTGCTAAGGTCAGGAACTAGGAACTGGGGGGACTGAGGCTGAAGGTTACCTCAGAAGCCTTAGCCAGGGCAGGTGAGGACTGGCAGGGGCTGACCGCCTGACTGCCCCTATGATGAGGAAAGCAAGACAAGTAGATTAAGACCAGATGTAGGAGACTTTGAATGCCTGGCTAAGGAGTTTGGCTTTCTCCTGAAGAGAAAAAAGCTAGCCAAGATTTGTTTAATTAGAAAGTTGTCATTTGAAGACTTTTTTTTCTTCTCCCCCCAAGATTTATTAAGATATAATTGACATGTAACATTGTGTAAATTTAAGGCTTACAGTGTGATGTTTGTTACACATATGTATTGCAAAATGATTACCATGATGAGGTAGTGAACACCTCCATCACCTCACATAATTACCATTTTTTTTTGTAGTTAGAACATTTAAGATTTACTGTCTTAGCAGCTTTCATTTATATAATGTGTATCGTTAACGGTAGTTACCACATGTATATTAATCACTTGGAACTAATTCATCTTATAACTGGAAATTTGTACCCAGCTCCCCCGCCCTCCAGTCCCTGCCAACCACCATTCTACCTTCTATTTTTATGAGTTGAGATTTTTTAGATTCCATGCATAAATGAAAACATCCAGTATTTGTCTTTCTCTGTCTGACCTATTTCACTTCGCATAATCGCCTTAGAGTCTATCTATGTTGTTGTAAGTGGCAGGATTTTCTTCTTTTTATGGCTGAATAATATTCCATCATACCACACACACACACACACACACACAGTCTGCATGTAGATTTTTGGATTTCATGGACCTATAAAATTAAAAAAAAATTTTTTTTACAGATTGGGATAGTGTTGTTAACATTTTAAAAAACCAACTACCAACTACTTTCACCATCATCTCATAAAAGACAGGACATTTTTTGTCTGTCTTTTAATGCCCCAGCATTAAACCTGGGGCACTTGGGTTGCTCAGTCAGTTAAGTGTCCAACTCATGATTTCAGCTCAGGTCATGGTCTCACGGTCATGAGATCAAGCTCCACACTGGGCTCTGTGCTGAGTGTGGAGGCTGCTTGGGATTCTTCCTCTCCTCCGTCTGCCCCTCTCCCCTGCCTACTCACGCTCTCTGAGATAAAAATTTAAAAAAAAAACAACAAAAAAACTAGGAAAGACCCAACTTGAGAAAAAAGCACAGTCTTCCTGAGAGAGTAGTTGGCAACTACAAATAATATCTATACAGATACCTTTCTGCCATATGTGAATAATGGATTGTGTAATTATGTGTGTCTGTGTGTACCATTGCCCTTATTTTTCTCACTTCACTCTAATGAAAATGTGACACCATTTGTTTTGTGCAGCCTAAATGTCATGAAAGTTAGCACTATGTCTGGGAACGAGAAGCTTTCCCAGATCAAGTGATGCCCTGCTTAGAGGATCCATAGCTGACATGATGAAATACTAGCACACGACAGAAGAACTGGATGATCCTCAGATTTTCTAATGAAATTTGGCCTCTCTCCATCCTCAAAGACTTCCTTGTTGTTTGTCTTTTTTAAACTTCATTTTATAATTTAGAGCAACTCCCGATAGTTGCTATTGGACCCTTCTAGAAATTATGGTTGTTTTCTTGGAAGCAGATGGGATCTTGGGAGTGTGTTGTCCAGCATTCAGCTGCATAATCTTTAAGGCAGCACATCTGTCATGCTTCCCATTCTTGGTGTGGAAGCTTATATGAGGATGTAACCATCCGCTGGTAAATGCTCTTGAGGATAATAATTATCAAAAAAACGATTCTGCTAAAATTTTTAGAAAACTTTTTTTTCAGAAAATTTGAAACACTTTTCAAATAACATTATTTTGTGCCATTTGAAAAAAAAGTGACACATTCTTATGAGACAGAATTTAGTGTTTGTGCTAGAAAACTGCTTTAAAAATTTTTTTTAATGTTTATTTATTTTTCAGAGAGAGAGAGAAACAGAACACAATCAAGGGAAGGGCAGAGAGAGAGAGAGACAGAGAGAGAGAGACACACGGAGACACAGAATCCGAGGCAGGCTCCAGGCTCTGAGCTGTCTGCACAGAGCCCGACTCAGGGCTTAAACTCACAAACTGTGAGATCATGACCTGAGCCAAAGTCAGATGCTTAGCCAACTGAGCCACCCAGGTGTTCCTAACAAACTGCTTTTTATTTATTTTTTATTTTTTTTTAATATTTTTATTTATTTCTAGGAGAGAGAGAGAGAGAGAGACAGCGTGAGCAGGGGAGGGTCAGAGAGAGAGGGAGTCATAGACTGAAACAGGCTCCAGGCTCTGAGCTGGCAATCAGCACAGAGCCTGACGCGGGGCTCAAACCCATGAACCGCGAGATCATGACCCAAGCAAAAGTCGGATGCTTAACAGACTAAGCCACCCAGGCGCCCAAACGGCTTTTTAAACTAAATATAATTCACGACTCACCAAGAGGTCCTATTGCTCTCAACCCTTTAATGTTTAATTCTGAATCTTATTTTTTT